TTTTTCATAGAAATAATGCTGCTTATCTAGCTGCCTAGAGAAGAAACTCGTGTACAAACTGAATATTTATATCTTCGTATAATTAGCTGATGCTCATTTTAATACTTTTCACCCCTCCAGGCACCATGGAGTTGATTTTTCGAATATTTTTAACTTTATATTTTGGACATACCAAATAACTCATTCTAAAACTGTTGTTTACTTTTATCGTTTCCTAAAATAATCTGATCGTGCATACATTTTTTTTCTTATCGTCTTCAGTTCTATTGAATGCAAATTATTCGGATGCTAATTTTAAACACGTTTATCTCATTAATTTAATGCGCGTAAGGACTACAGATGAATTAGCTGATTTGAAGTTATCTCTTAGTTTGAAAGCACAGGCAGGTAATTTAAATACTGCAAGCGGAGAAAAATATTTACACTCATGCTATCGTTTTCTAAAATAAATTTTATGGCCAGATTCTATTTGCATAGAACTTTGATCTGTTTTTGGAATTGAGTTATTCTTAAGGTAATGCAATAGACTTGTTTCTTTTAGTTAGAAAGCTGTTTATTAAACAAACACATCTTTTGCAGTATCTTTTAAAGTGAAAACAAAGTGAAAACAACATTGAATCACAATAGTGTAAATATTTTTCAAAGTTTGTACACATGTAATTGATATGAACCAAATAAACTTTTCAAGTAATTAATAGAAGATATAATTAAAGCTGAAAGATTTCTAACAGATATATTTTCTTACTTGATTTCTCACTTGATGAAATCAGTTTTTTCTTTAGTCAGTATTATTAAATATTTGTATAGTAATTTTATAAAAGTTTTGAAAATAGCCCTTTATATCATCTTTTATTAATTTACGTGAAAGAATAATCAATTATGAAGAATTAGACAAAAATAAATTTTATTTAATATTAACTACACTCTTATACTCTCTCAGCTGTAAGTAAGTAAAGACGACATGGAAATAAATAACCTGAATGCTGTACAATCAAGACTGCTTCAAGGCCAAACGCATGCTAATACCGCTACATACATAAAATGTAGTAAGATATGAACTTAGTTTTCTTTAATTATCTCGATAAAAATGGCTTTCATGGCATGCATTTCCCATGCATGCATTCTTCCCATGCATTACTTACAAGGTAAGGTTAAAAAACTCCATGAAATCGTTATTTCCTCTGTATGGTTTGAAATATATCCTGATTTTGAGTTAAGTGAAAGATTGTGATTAGAAATTTAGCACACTTTTCTAATCACAATCTATGTAGCACACATTAACTAAGAAACTACCATATTGGTAATATACACGACTTTTTTAAATTTCCACTAGGATTAGCTACCTACTCTATCTGTTCTAATCGTCTGAGTAATAGTAGGTATCCTGCTACAGAGCTTCCGAAAGCTGAGAACAGCTCTCTGATTAAATCTGTAAGAGTTTATTTATAATAAAAATTTTTATTCTTGGATGACATTCTTTAAACATGCTCTTATTTCAGATCATTTGTGCTCCTTGATAGGGCCAGTACTTGAAGTCTAGCTTTGCGTATCATTAGGTCCCAATCACATTATATTTCGGCTACGCGGGACTTAACGTCGAAAGGGACAATTCTCAGAACCTGCACAATTCCAGGAAACACACGTAGCTAGGTTACCATTCTCACTTACTACAAAGACTTGAACGCCAAACAGTAATCGATTATCGCTCAAATCGGGATCACGTGATCCTTCAGAAGCAGAATTTTCGTGTGGTTGGTTGTCTCTACCCGGGACCGGAGACATTTTCGGTGAGGTTTGAAAAAATCCCGCGTAGCCGCAACATTACTTCCGTAGCTAAGCGGGACTTCGCTTTAGGTGGGGCTCTTTTTTCTAGGAATCCCCCAATCTTTAAACCAGTGCTATCAGAAATCTTTAAACCAGTGCTATCAGAATATCGTTTCTCAGAACAGTCCCGTCTAGCAGAGACTGTAGCCATGTGTGATAACTTCTTTACGTTTCCTTAAATGTTCAGGAGCCCACCAGCGGCCGAGCGGTAAAGTCGCTGAACGCTAGTAGTTTGATTCGAGGTTCGAATCCCGCGAAAGGGCTGGCTGTATGGGCGGTTTTGTGGTTTTCCTCACGTGTAACGTGTATACTAGCCAGTTCCCCTTCGAAAGTCCTCCTCGAAGACATCTCACCTCTCAGGCAGATAGCCCTCGAGGCTTTGCAGTAATTGAATAAGCCAAACCTTAAATGCTTAGATGTAAAACGAGACATTCTCCTATGTAACGCGAAAGAATAATCTCACTGAAGCGGGTTGAATTATTCCCCTTTTAAATTATAAAAATGATTATAATGTATAAAATGATTTTAAATGTATAAAATGATCCACTGTTAATGGAAATATTTTTTATCTTCTGTAGCTAGCACCATTTAGTTTGCTTGGCGAAATGAATGATACTTAGTTTGCATGGAATTGGAATTAAAACAGGAAATGATAAAAAAAAAAAAAATGAAAGAATAAAAGAAAGTTAAAAAAATGCTATCTCAAACTGTTAAAGCCAGTTTAATCTGGTTGTTTTCCATTTACTTAAAAAACAAGAATCATTTTTATTTACTGAGAGGCATTGTTCCTCTTGGAAATGCAGGATTCGCCCATGGAATAACTGGAGAAATTAAAACAGGAAATGATAAAACAAAAAACTGAAAGAATAAAAGAAAGTTTAAAAAATAATGCTATCTCAACTCTTGTTAAAGCCAGTTTAATCTGATTGTTTTGCCATTTGCACATCAAAAAACCGGAATCATTTTTATTTACTGAGAAGACATTGTACAAAACAGTTGCTTCAAGATGGAAAAACGTTATAACATGAAAATCTGTTACCGATAAAGATGATCTGAACATTATATGGTGATTCATCGTTATCACGAACACAAGTGTTTGAATGGTACAACCGGCTTTAAATATGAGTGTGAAAACATTGAAGATGAAGCAAAGAAAATAGGGCGCCCATTCAGCTTCGAAGAATGAGAAAAATATGGAGGAATTTCGTTCTTTGTTATAGTTGATAGACGTGTAATAACTCTACAAATTTCAGACTTGCTTGGAATAAGCAAAGAAAGCTGTAGGTTGATTTTAATTAAAAATCTAAAAAGAGGAAAGTTTGTGCTCGATTTGTGCCTCGGAGTTTCGCAGAACAAGCAAAAGGAAGACAGAAAAGTTTACTATGAAGATTTACGGATTCTTCCGAGATAGGACAACAATTTCTTTAAAGCGCATCATTAGCAGGAAGCAAGAAGCAAGAAGACAAAGTGCGCAGTGGGAAAGACCGGCTTCTTCCCCACAAAAAAAAAAAAAAAAAAAAAAAATGCATGGATATCGAAATTAAGTAAGATCACGCTGATTGTACTTTTTTACTAAAACTGACTTATTCACCCTGAATGTTCAATCTGAAAATAAATCTATTAGTCAGTATTTTTACAATGAGGTGCTTTTCCGATTAGGAAACAGGATAAGGTGAGTAAGGAATAAACATTTTGATTCTGGGCAATGGTTTCTTTACATAATAATGCTAGGTCCCATACATTATTGTGTGTACAAAAATATCGTGCCAAGTATTCAGTTGCAGTGATAAATCACTCACCATATTTTCTCGACTTATTGCATTGTCAGCTGATATTTTTCCTTTTCCGAGGCTTAAGATGAATATGAAAGTACAGGGAATTGAAAACGTCTGGGATATTAAATCAAATACAGGGTGTTTATAAAGTCCCGGACCCATTTTGATGTTTAATAACTCATAAAATAATGAAGATATAAACAAATATGCACTTATTGAGGAAAACTTATATATTTCCTTTTCAGGTCGAAATCTTTACTTTTGTAAAATCTTCTGCACGTGTGGTTATTTCGATAATTTATTTCCAGTCTAAATATCTGTCTTCTAATATCGTTGCTTACTAATTGCATTTTCTCTCTTTGTTTTGGCATCTTCTGGCATTGTTAATGCCATAATGTGGCTATGAGGATTGAAAATACCCATGAATACCGCGAGGCACAAGGGATCCCAAGGTAAGTGTTAATGGTGTGGTGTGGCTAATGCAGAAAGAGTCACGGGCCTTTCTTTTTACGAAAGAGGTCTCATCATAGTTATACTGACATGTTGGAAACTCGTATTTCCACAAATAGAAGGCTCAGCACATGTCTTTTTGAACAAGATTGGCCAACCTATTGGGAGTACTATCGTCGTAGTTCTTGAATGCCATTTTACAAGAGATGGATTGGGCGAGGAGGTCCAATTCCTTAGCCACCATACACTGAATAATGCCTCGGACCTTTTCTTTGGGTATTTGTAAAGGACAACGTTCAGAGGAGTGTCGACATTGATGCCCAAAAGCCAAAATTAAAACCGCAAAGCCCTGTGGATGCCGACATCTTGCCGGTAACTGACGTGAAATTTAAATATCAACTGGATATTTCCGGCACGACGGGCACGCGTGGAGTTTCATTGACAGGGTCATGAAACGTTTTGAGTCTTCATCCATTTATGTATAATTTTAATGTTTATATTTTATGAGTTATTAAACATCAAAATGGGTCCGGGACTTTATAAACACCCTGTATTACATGTATTTTGAGAACAGTTCTAACGCCTATGAAGAGTGTTTCAATGGCCTGAAGAAACGTAGAGAAACTATATAGCTCCTGTGTCGATTATTTTGAAGGAGGTACATTTATTTGAAGGTTAGTAATCCTTTTCTTATTAATAAGATAATGACCGGTTACTTTATGGGCGCATCTTGCATATTTGTATACCATAGAAACCAATAAACATATTACATCCTTCATTGCCCTATGTACCATAACTGCTACAACATAGGAGTTATTGAACTTTTAAAACTTATTTCAGTGTTTTTTAACTTAAGGATATTATTTAGAAACATACTTTCTCTCGGGATAGAAATATACGGAGAGAAATAAGGTAACGACACTGGATTCACAATAGAGAAATTTCACTTACATTTCCTCCTTGCGAGAAGTTTTTCAGTTCATCAACTACATCGTTAAGTTTGTAGTACCTCCCCTCAGGAGGTAGAGGTGGCTTGATGTCCAGAGCGCAGTACTGGCCAGTGAACATCACTTTGCCGTAATTTCTTCCTCTTCGGTCATCTGTAGCTTTGATATCTACGCACTGGTCGTATTCACCGAGGTCAGATAGGGTTCCTCCTAGCATGCCTGTGATCATCTTTCCACTAGCATCAAGAACTAGAAATAAGACAAAATTTTAGATTACTTAAAGAATAAAAGGAATGACTGCAGAGAAAAAGTATTTAGGAATGTGGTGGAATTTCGGATGGAATTTACAAGACTGTATTCAAATATATTATCTTACATAAATTACCACTAAAAATTTTTTTTCAGTCAAAAATTCTTCTCTAAATATTGATAAATTTAAAATTATTTATTGCTATACAAAATCTAGTACTTACAACTCGCTTCTGCATTAGAATCAAACCTAATAAAAGAATAAGCTTTCGAGAAAGTATTTTCTGTAAAGTTTTTATCTGCGCGTTTTGAATCAGATGCCTCATACGTATATTTGTTTTCATAACTTTGCGGGTAAGCTCTTTTTTATTAGTTTTTAATATTTAGAAAATATCAATCTTTTCAGAGTCAGCACTTGTTGAAAATCAACTGTGCCTTTTCCAGAATTTGAACAACGGACAAAAGAACATTTAACATCCTTTCGATGCATTGCATTCTAGGAATTTCTAACTTAATTTCTTAACGTATTCCATTTGCATCAGGACTCTTTCCCAGAGATGCAGTTATAAAAACGATATTATTTTATAAATTCTCATCAGTCGAATCAATTACACTTAACAGCCCCATCAGTTAGACTTACAGCCTCATAGTCTATCCGAATATGTATTATATAGCTTAAACATAATGCAAAATCCAAATCAGATCTTATCCTGCACTTCAATAATCTCAGAAATTCTTATTATTGTGATAATTATCCTAACAACTTTTATAGGTTCATCACCATTAATCTTCCCGTTTACAAGTTGTTAACTGGACATATGAACCATTAACATGACAGCATCATGCACAGAGAAAACCGGTGTCTCCTAACATTCTCCCCACTTAAAAGAGCGATCGGGGAGAAACACTAATTATCTTTTTAGTTTTACATATTTAGCCAATGTAAAACAAAGTTTAGCTTTTTTTTTTTTTTTTTTTTTTTTTTTTTGAGTGAGAAAACGTTGAAAATCAACTTTGCCTGACTGTTCAACAAACTACGGAATTTTCAGTTGTCAGTTGGACGTGCTATGCAGTTATACTATGAAAGTGAACTTGAAGGAATAAAACAGCTACTTACAGTTACTAACTTTTGTTTAATTTACATTAATTTAAAACGCCGAACTGAAAAAAAAAATAAAAAACAAATAAAGGTAGCGGAATGTGTTAACTGCTGATATGAAAGTAAAAGCATCGGACCCTAAATAAAAACTCTACGAATTGAACATATAACACTTTTTTTTAATGCTATTGCATTTTATATTAACTTAAGCATTTTATCCCTTACTCATTTTAAAACTTATACATTAACCAACTCACTGTGGCTTTCACCGAAATGATAAGGCACATTTGTTGGCGAAGAAAGGGGCTAATATTTTCTAGATAACTAATAAGCACACCCCTTTTTACACTGACAAAAGAGTTATAAAAAATTACTATACAGAAGTTTTTGTAAACATGAATTATTGAAAGAAGCAGTCATATAAAGTATAGATTAACAAAATTTTTGCATTCCTTTATGGCATAAAGAAAAGCCTGTTGCTATTTTTCGTCTTGTTACTGGCCATGATTGCCTTTTAAATGATCCGCATCGAATAAACATTTTCCCAACCACAATCTACAAACTGCGCTACCTTCATAAGGAAATAGACGCTTCACATCTGAGTCGTTGCCCTGAACTTAATGCCAGATCACTCTGGAAGAGATACAGGGAGGCGAGACACAAAATAAATTTATAGATTATACTGTGGGTTGTTTTAGTTTTGTTGCTCTCTTTCATATTTGCGTCTTTTGTCTAAAGTTCTCTTTGTAATCTGCCGTTAGAAATAAAAATCATCTTAATTGTGCACTGAAATTTGAAAAATTTTAATAATGTTGTTATTATAATAAAATAATCTAGTTAATGAGAGATGTGAGGCAATACCTGCTAACCATTGATAAAGAACAGGTGACCCATTTATCGTCAACTGAACTGAAATGTGTGCTGGGAAAAATAATGTGAATATTATCAGAACCGGAAACCTTTTAAACATTTTAGGCGCGTGTGTGATTATGGCAAAGCCTCGAGGGCTATCTGCCTAAGGGGAGGGATGCCTTCGTGGAGAACTTTCTAAGGGAAACTGACTCGTATACACGTTACACATGGGGAAAACCACGAAAACGCCCATGCAGCCAGCCCGTTCGCGGGATTCGAACCTCGAACCGAACTACCAGTGTTCAGCAAATTTACCGCTCGGCCGCTGGTGGGCCTTAAACATTTTAGGAAGATATAGCATTGGAAAAGTTGATTTTAGGAAAGTAAATTTTGGAGGCGAAAAGTATATATTGAGCAACCAAATAATTCATCTACCCTTGATATTATCTTTAAGAAAAGTGGCATAAGTTTCCTTTAGAACAAGACTTGAAATCAAAAAACGTTATAAGTAAATGAAACTTGAAATTGATGATTTCTAACTAAATAAAAAAAATGTTCAATAAATACTTGCACACAACCGATATATGAATACTTTTATATCTTGATTTGCAATACCGAAGTACTACATATGATATCATTTTTGGTCTTATGGCATATGATTTTAGTGGCATGAGGTTAAAGTATTTTTACTATTCACGGTTATATGGCCTATGAACCCGTCTTATACAGGTCAGGAATTTACTGTATTGTTGTTATTTTAGAAATAGGGTTTTACTTAGGAAGATTAAGAAAACTACAGCAATTTTAAATCGGAGAAAAAATAACATTTATACTAGCACTATTTTAAGAGAATATGCCACAGGTCTTTTTCTCCTCAGAAAGAAAATTATTCTTCTTTAAACATTTTAGTGCTAGAGATTAGCAAATTATGATTTTACATCAAAAGATTCCATGACTGATTATAAAATGTATTTGAATTTACTGACAAATTCAAAGGAATTCTTACAGTATTAAAGTAACTGTAATGACATTAATGTAATGGCATGTAAAGTCAATTAGCATTATTAATTATTCTTATGAAGAATAATTTTTTAAATATGTGCATAAATGTTTTCAAGCTACATTTTTCTCTTCAGCAATTAAAATGCCATTTTAAATTAATTAGGAAATCACTTAACATCAAATGATAACATTCAAAATGATGAACATTGAAATAAGAATATGTATCACTCTTCTTTTTTCCTTTCAAGAATATAACATTTAAATTTTTTAGCTTAAAAAAGCTGTAGAAGTATACATTTATTTTATATTTTAATTTAAATGTATAATGTAAAAAAATCGTTAATAAAACCTGAAGATATATGTTACGTACGTAAAATTTAGCTCCTTTGTCATCAGCCTAATTTCAGGCGCAGAATCACTATTGAAATATTTAAATATTTTGAATGATCAGAAAGAATTGTTAATGTTTGTCAGCCAGTTTTGAGCGAATTCTCACTCTAATATATGTATATTCAATTTTATTGTGATTTCGCATCATTTTAAACAATTGTTTTGTTATTACATCCATTATATCTGTTAATCACCAAGTTTTAGTGCCTTTTTTAATTTTTTTTACCTTCTGATTATCTCTCTCTCTATTTTTTTTATTTTATCTGAAAAACCTTCCTTTAGATGCGTTATCATTTCCGCCGATAATCACTGGAATCATTAGTATCGAATTCTTCGGTTTTTGTTATATCCGCAGGAGACAGGAACGCCTGCGCGATTGGGAAGTAGATATCGCTGCCACCAGAAATAAACAAAACAATAATAAAATATTCAGCTTCCTTTCTCCCGGCAGTCGATATCCTTCATGCCAGATATTGAAAAAAATATACTTGGTAACCTTTTAAATTCATTTGATAAAAACATTAAACAAGGTTAAACAAGGTTGGTTATTTCAGTTCGATCGTATTTATATTTGCATCGAGGTCGTCTTTTTCTGACACACAAACAAATTAATCTGAAAGCCCAATAGCTTTAAATGTATTTCGTAATTATTCTTTCTTTAGTAAAAGCGTTTTAATGGTTAAAACAGCTATATAATCTTTTCTTTATTTTAATCCAATAAACATAATTTTTGGTTGATATTAGTTAATAAGTTTATTCAATGATTTTAAAGACCAATAAGAAATTAAGAGTTGAAAACCAGGTAGTGGGAAAATGACTAAGAATAAAGAAGGAAAATTAGGAGATTAATTGAAGGAATTCGGAAGCATTTTCTATTGAAAGAAACCTCTATTTTCATTATAAAGAAAGTGTTAGCTTTCGGGCTATGAATTTTACTTAATTAATTAATCAACTCACGTACATAATATGCGAACTCATAAAATTGTAGTTTACTCAAAACAAATTATTATATATGATATTATATGCAATAATTGTTTTGAGTAAAAAAAGGGGTTTTGAGTACACTAAAAAAATTGCCACATATTTCTATCTAAGCTGAGATATTTTAGCAAATTTTTCTCTACTGAAGTTTGGTAATTCAGTTCATGTACGAGTTCAGAATGATTTATACGTAATTCGATCATAGAAAAGGTATTAAACGTTAAAATGACTGAAAAGGTATTATTTTTAGTTTACTTGATTTTAATATATGTTAATTAAATTTTCATATATGGGTAGCTAAAGGTGAGTAGGTATTAGCTTTATGTATATATATATATATACATATGCATACAGCTGGAGGTATAGGGTAATACTAAATTTGGCTTATACTTGGTGTTCCAATTTTGGTTAGAAGTTTTCAGCAAAATCCTATTTTTCGAATTAAACTCGGATCGGCTTTTGTTTGAAAACATACGGTATATATAAATGTATTTAAAATATTTTAAATTTAGTGATATTTCTTCAAATTTAGATTTCTTTTCATAATTAGAAAGAAATGCTATGGAAAGGAAGCTTATCAGCAAGATATCTAAAATGCTCCAGTTAATTTGCTTTATTCCTAAAGCTGATTTTAGTATCTTTGGGCATGTATGCATGAGAAATTATTGCCATACAT